AGCTGAGGTTCAAACTCATGTCATCCTTTATGCCTGAGCCTGGAATTTCAGCAGGCATCACCACACCCATCTTAAAAATCACTTCTTAATGGCTATGCTTGAAATAGGCTTTAGGATAAAAAAAATAGATTCAAGAAACTCAGTCTAGTATTGTGCATTTCATTTTTTTCTGTAATAAACGATAGCTACTTTGTAGAGTTCTTTTTTAAAAAAAACTGATTTACACATCTGCATGTGCAAACATACAGTCTCTTCAGTGTGAGAATCTGAAAGAAAAAATGGAATGGGTATGGTAGATACTGGGAAAAGGAGATGAAATTATTCAAAATAAAGAAGTTACTGAGTTGAGAAGGGCAAGAGAGAGTGGGGAAGAGATGTTTCTTTAAAAATAAAATTGTTTTAAAAATTAAATTTTTAAAATTGTTTTAAAAATTAAAAAACAAGAAAAATCTGATTTATTATTTTTGGCATGTAGTAAGTACTAAAGAGACATGAAAATTTTTTTACATATCAATATGTTTACATAGTTTTCCTCAATGGAGACCATGGCACTTGAGCAACACAGAAGCCACTTAACTGTATGATTTAGCCAGAGCTAGATGGAGATATGAGCTAGATAAAGGCTGGCAGAAATGCAGTGAGCCATCCCTTGAAATAATTCTCTTCAGTAGAATAAAGGGTTCTGTTGATTTTTCTAATATTCCCTCCTGTTCACAATAAACATCTCTCTCAAAACTTAGAACAAATGTTGTTTCCTCCTACAAGTCTTATCTTCCTTCACATTGAACAACCCTCCTGCTTATCTGAACCTTCCTGTGAGACTTTGCGCAGTTAGCATTGTGTTTATATCTTATCTTCCAGTAGACTGTAAATGCACAAAGCACAATATCTCTCATTTTTCTCCATAATGTCCTACCTAGCTCATTGGGACCACATACACTAAATTTCAGGTTTTCTAGTAGCAACATTAAATTTTTTTTAGAAACTGATATGGTGGCACATGTCCATAACCAGGCACTGTTTGAGGCTGATGCAGGAGGATCATGTGTTCAGATCTTATTTGAGCAACTTAGTGAGACCTAGTCTCCAAAAGTGCATCAACATGACTTGCTGTACCTCAGGGCAAAGGACCTTGGTTTACTCTCTAGTGCTGCAGAATACAGAAGTAAAAGTTTTAGAATGAACTATGTTGTCTATTTCAGTAATGTATTTAATCTGGTATATTGAAAATATTCAATGCGTGATCAATTTAAAAATTACTGGAGAGGTGTTTTAATTTTTTGTTCTAAGTCTTCAAAATCCCCATGTCTCAACCTGGACTAGCCACATTTCAAGTATTCATAGCCACTTAACTAAGAATGCTATACTGGACAGCAGAGGCCTAGCACAGTATAGGTGACTAGGAAATGAACATCCCAAGACAAACTTTCAAAAATAGTCTCTTTTCACTCATAATCACATAATCTACTGATTATAACCTACAAGTACTCTGGTATATCTCCTCACATATTTTCTTATATACTGTATTTTTAAATTATACAACTGAGATGTCACTGTAAATGTTTTGTGTCACTTAGCTTTCTACTATGAATTTCTCTCATAGTCCACAATATGAATATCCATAATTTATTTGACCACTCATCTACCAGGGGACTACTGGGTTCCTTCCAAGGTTTCATTTTCATAATATTCCCAAAGTAAACTTTCCAAACCTAAACCTGTTGGCACATGTACAGTTTCCTGGGATAGATTCTCTAGAAAAGGAATCACCAGCATCAAAGAGTTTACATGTTTTGCCTTGCTTATATTGCCTTCTCAAAAGTTGGCTCCAATTTATATTCCTATCACTATAGCATAAAATATTTACTGGGTTGTCCTTGCTCATTTCCTACACTGAAAAATTCCCATTTTTTTAAAAATTTCTTTGGTCATTAGTAAAAATTAATCTTTTTTCCTATCTGCCAGACATTTGTACTTCTTCTTCTATGAACTACCTATATTAAAATCAGTTCGTATGAACTGTTAAAGACTTTTAATACAGAGAGAATTCGTTATGAACTCTTCACTTCAATCTTTCTTTTCGGTACATTTAAAATGAGTTGTGAAAGTGAAATTGTGCATCACTGGTAAATTTCTGCTTTAATACTATTTTGTTGTCTCTTTAATATTGTTGTTTAAAAATTTAAAATAAAAATAGAAAAATAAAACAACAAAAAAATAGTCTCTTTTTTCCCCCAGCAGATTATGATGGCTGTAGGAGCTGTGCCTCTCAATGAACAACCATATTCCCCATTGGTGAGTAGCAGTGGGTCTGCTGCAAACATGAAAGGTAATATCGCTTTGATATATTTTTATCTCCTTGTGCCACCTAGTATTTAATACAAGGAAGTGAGTGAAGGAATGTGAAAGAAAGGCTCTATTTTTCATCTGGCAATGCTAAGATCCAGGTGTTATTAAGGTGTTTCCTAGCTTTCTGTCTTGCTGTTTTGGCTTTTTTAAAGGGCAAGTTTCCAGGGGCCGGGGAGATGGCTGAGTGGAATATAGGCTTCCCTGGCAAGCGCAAGGGCCTGAGTTCAATCCCCGGTTCTGCAAAAAAGAAAAAAAAATCAAGTTCCCAACATGTTTCTTTCTTGCATTATTATCTTAGTCTGAGATTGTGCCTGTGCTCCTGTCATCAGACACCTACTTGTGAATCAGCAATTCATTTCTTCTTCAGTTTCTTGCAAGTGCCACTTATGAAGCATATTCGGAGCACCAGAGCCCTACTTCTCCCAGTGTTATTTTCACTCTAACCCCACCTTACCACACAGTTTTTGGTATTTCTACACCTCATGCACGGAATCATGCTACTTGGACTCCTACTCTCTCATTTATTCTTCACTGCATTGCATTTCTGAGCTGAGAGATGCCCTGATTCCTTGTTAGTCAGGTTCTGTCAATGTGCCAAGAGACCTGAGACAAGTTCCCCAAAGGAAGGAAAGGTTTATTTTGGCCCTTGGTTACAGAGGTTTCAGTCCATGGTCAGTTGACCTCTTGCCTCAGTTGTGGCGAGGCAGTATCTTACAGCTGAGGAAACTATACACCGGAAGGAGTCCATGACTAACTGCCTTCCACTAGGCCCCACCTGCTACCATTCCAACACTTTCTGGCAGCAGCCCCAGTTGACAGCCAGGCCTAAAGTACAGGACCCTTCATGGAACAGTTTGTATATCAACCCTTCCTTGGCCTTGTTGCTGCCACCTATGTCAGCCAGAAGAAACACTGAGTGATTTCACTGGATGATACTCTGCTGGCATTATTTTCTAACTCTCCACTCTAGGTTTTGCCTGAATTTCTTTAGTCCTCTTGTATAGGAACTTCATGGTATTTCTTTTCAAGGTATTGATTACATGATGAAAGACTAGAGAAGAAGGACTCTAAAGGAATTTATAGTTTAGAACTCACTGCAAACAATTTGTTCTAGTTACTTTTGTGTTTGTTGGAATCTGGTCACTCCACCAGGAAGAGCTCCCTTTCATCCATTGTTGACCTTGGCTAAATTCAAAGAGGATCTTTGCAGATGCTCTTCCATTTGCCTTCTGTGTCTGACTCTAGGGAAACTAATACTGATAACTGCCATTTTATGAACAGCTTTTAGGCCCAAATTTATGGTTAGTTTTCCTGGCCTTAGAGGAAATTGCTCTTAAAACAAATGTGGTAATGATGTCTACTTGTAGAATAGTCGTTTCCCCAAGCAACACTCCACCATGAGTATAATTAGTCTGACAAGCGTTTTTCCTGCTTCTTCTGTCAGAATGTTACCTCTTTTGTTAGTGTTTTCTGTCAAGTTTCTATTGGCCTTGGAATGGCATAACTCTTTGTTTTGGGCATGCACACACACAAGTTCCGTGGTGTTTCCAGGTTTCAAAGACAACCAGAAAAACCCTACGCATTTCCACATTACCCCAGAAAGTTTCTGTTATCTTTTTTGTGATTCACTAGGTAAACGGATGTTTATCTTTCCCCCAAAGTATCTTTTTTCAATAAAAATTTCTCTTATGTAAATGCAGCTAATTTTAATAAGGAAATAATTTTTAAAATGCATTTCATGTCTTTCTTAAAATGTATCTCATCTATAAGATAGTTAGGTTGTCTTAGGGGTTTTTTCTTCTGTACTTTAGGGAAGGGTCTACAAGGTCTTCATGGTTTCACGAATAGACCAGGGTTTCACTTATAGTGATTTTCCTGTTTACAGCCTCCCAAGTGCTACGATTACAGGTGTGCTGCACCATGCCTAGTCTCAAGCTCTGTCTCAGCAGCCCCCTGGCTGGGGCCCTGGGCCCGCTGGCACAGGCAGTGCAGGCCCGCATATCGAACCCCCTGTCCCTACATGCAGGCGCTTTATTGTGCTGAGCTGTTTTTCTGTCACTTTATGAGGTTTTAGAGTAGGAAGTACTTTTTTAACACTTTCTAATGAATTAATGGAAAAACTGATTAGTAGGCTACTTAAATATTTATTTTTACAGGAAATAGAAAATCAGCAGAAACTACATTTGAAAAAAGACAGACCTAGATTTAAACTTTAGCTTTACTCCTTGAAATAAAATAAAAATCTCAAAAAAGCCAACCGAGAGTGCTTCCTCCCCACCCCTGCCACGCGAGGCTGCGGCACACGATTGAAGAATGTCCCGGGTTCCACTGGGGAAGGTCCTCCTTAGGAATGTCATCCGGCACACAGATGCTCACAATAAGATCCAGGAAGAATCAGATATGTGGAAAATAAGAGAAATAGAGAAACAGATGGAGGATACTTATCAAGAAACTGTTGCCCAGCAGTTCAAGTCGGATGCGTAGTGATGGATTTGATGAAGAAAGT